CGATGAGAGAGAAACATCGATCAGCTGCCTTCTGCACACTCCCCACTGGGGATGTGCCCGCAACCAAGGTACATGCCCTTGACTGGAATTGAACCTGGGACCCTTGAGTTAGCAGGACGATGCTCTATCCACTGAGCCAAACTGGTTAGGGCAATTAATTCCCTTTTAATGTGCATGAATGTCGTGCACCGGGCTACTAGTAATTAAGAAAGGTCTATATTCATAGCTATTTCATATGTTTGAATGCTGCTGAATTAAAATCTCACACAAAACAATTTTAAGTTACTGGTGAAACTGATAAAATTTTCATGAAGAAAATATAGAACCTGAACTCCAAGTTGACATGGAGAACGCTGAAAATACCAAGGACTCCAGAGAATGTTGATTACTGTAGAGCTTATGGCTAAAGAAGGCCTTATCCAACACAGTTCTTTCAAATAAAAAATTTAAATAGAAAACTAATTTTAAAGAATTTTACAAAACAAATTTACTTTATGTGAAACATTTAACTTAAGAGGAGACAAATTGAATTTACTTAGTTTTGTCTCCTTTTGCAAATATGCTCGAGATGTAAAAAGAAGCCCATTTTGTAAATCAAATCAGATGAAGTTTTGGCCACATAAGTCTAATGGACCAATGTTATGTACTACTGATGCTTTGGAATAACAAGGGTGGGCTGTGCCAACAAACACAATATACCCTGGAGAAAAAGTCGTCCTGACTCTTTTATTGTTGAAATTAAAAAATAAAAGATACTTAAATACAATGGTGAACATATAGGGCAAAACAGAATCATAAAATTTAATGTTGAGTTAAGCAGTGAGCTGAATGTTTGGGCCTTCAAATTGGCTTGAACTCAAAACTGCTTAAAACTGGGTATGTTCACAGTTAACGGCAATTGGCTTATAGGTGAGAGAATGGTCGAAGTTGTTCCAGTTGAACTTCCAGGGAAATTCTCTCCTCAAGAACATCCTGAAAAAGATGCAAAGCCAAGTTATAGTTCAACATTTATAAAAATTAAGGCACATCTAACAACAGCTCTGCGTCAAAAAAAACAATTTAAATTTGTTAACAAAGGGACAGCTATTCATTTTTTAAAAAGACACTTTAGAAATGTTTCTTTATGTATGTAATATTAAAAGACGCTATTAAAATGTTTTATTATATAAATCAGGGTAATAAAACATTTTTTGTTGTTTAATTATTAGAAAAGCCAATATTTGCAAATAATGGTGAAAAGGAAAATGGGGGGCTTACAACCTCGTTCAGTATCTGGTTAAAACTGTAGTCTTACTTCCCCACTCTGACTTGAGCAGAACTGCAGAGACTAACCCAGAGCCCCGCCACAGCTGACGAGGGCAGGGCGGAACTGCGGAGCATGGCCCCAAGGCCCCGCCAAGACTGACTTGGGCAATGCTGCGGGAAGCTCAGGGGCCAGCCACGGGAGGAGTTATATAGGTCAGAGCCTCCCCACAAGTTCAGGTTAGGCTTTGGATCTAGAATTCTCCTGAACAATCAGATCTGCAAAATAAAGGTTAAACTTTCCTCCCTCAGAGTGCTGGCTGATCGTTCTCCGTGCATTCTGCCACAACAATGGCTATTATGCGTGAATCATATCCCTTGCAGTAACTGTAGATAAGTTAACTAACATAAATTCTTTCCCCCGGTGATTACATCTGGTTATAGCAATGCCTGAACCTCATTTTGAGTTTCAGTTTCACAAAGAATAAACTTACTTTGCAATAGAATTTCTAATCACTGTTGATTTTGAGCAGTCTTTGCAGATAGTCAGCAAATTCTAATTTATCTACTCCCCCGCCACCCCATAATACTGACAATATCATATTTTAGCCAGAACTACCTTTCCCTATTTGGTACCATATTTCCTATTTTCTATTCTCAGAAATAATGAGAAGGGTGATTCTTAAAATGGCTCCTATATATATGTTTCTATGGTTTTCTTTAGTTCAGAAAAACACCCATGAATAAAATTTTCATCTTCAGTTTGGTACTAGCAAGCTTGTCCTTACTTTTATATTATTCCTTTACAACAAACCAAATTTATAATCATAGACCAACTATGTCTTCTTTGATCAAAGAATTTTGTAAGAATATCATTCATTCAACAGACATTTATCAAATGCCTAATGCGATATTATGATTTATAAGAAATAATACATTTGTCATTCAGATGCCCAAACACTGTATATCTCATATATATTTGGTCTTCATCCACAGTTCCTGGCTCACAGCTCCCAAAAGCCCTAGGAATTTCCCAAGCATTTGGGTTGGGGGAAAAGGTATCTTGTTATACTAATGAAAATGACTTTTGGAAAGCACCTAAGGCTGGTTGCCAGGAGAACCAACCAAGCAATTAGAAAGTTGGAACTTTCAGTCCCATCCCTGGCTGAAGGTTGAATCAACAGGACCCGCCAATGACTTATCAATCATGCCTAAGTAATGAAGCTTCTGTACAAACCCTCAGGACAGCATTTGGAGAGCTTCTGGATTGGTGAGCACATGGAGATGTGGGAGAATGCCGCCTGGAGAAGGCACGGAAGCTCTTTGCCCCCTTCCCATATACCTTGCCCTATACATCTCTTTCATCTGGCTGTTCCTGAGTTGGAACCTTTTAAAACCAGTGTTCTTTTTTTTTTTTTTTTAAATATATTTTATTGATTTTTTACAGAGAGGAAGGGAGAGAGATAGTTAGAAACATCGATGAGAGAGAAACATCGATCAGCTGCCTCCTGCACATCTCCCACTGGGGATGTGCCCGCAACCCAGGTACATGCCCTTGACCGGAATTGAACCTGGGACCTTTCAGTTCGCAGGCTGATGCTCTATCCACTGAGCCAAACCGGTTTTGGCTTAAAACCAGTGTTCTTAATAAGGGACACATTTCTCTGAGTTCTAGCAAATTAATGGAACCCCAGGAAAGGGCTATGTGAACCTCTAATTTACAACCAGTTGTTCAGAAGTACCATTAACAACCTGGACTTGTGATTAGCATTCTTAGTTGGAGGAGGTGGGGAGTGGTGGTATTGGAACTTCCATCTGTAGCCAGTTGGTCAGAAGTTCTTAACCTCTGGAATCTAGTATTATCTCCAGGTAGACAATCTCAGAATTAAGCTGAATTCTCAGAGACCCTGCCAGTGTCAGAACTGTTTGTTGGCATGGGGGACCACCTCCTAATACTGGAATTGGGTCTGGGAACCCTAACGAACATGTGCTAGGTTTAGGGGATGGAGACAAGATAGTTACAAGTTTATCTAGGACAGTTCCAGTTTACCTCTGATGTCCTGGCCTAAGTACTAACACCTCACTCCCTCTTTGTAATCAAAAGTATCTTTTTAATCAAAAGTTTAGGCATAAATTATATAGTTATCCTAAACAGAAATAATTATAATTTATCCTTGGTGAGTTCAGTTTAGTAGGGCAGAGACAAATGTGCCACAGATAATAACTCCAGGACAGTGTGACAAATGCTGGATGAGAATATGAACACGTTATGGAAATGAACGAATTCTGTATTCATTTTACATTTTTGAAAACTCTTTTCTACTCATTTTTTGTGGTTTATAACCTTGCTACCCAAAGCAGCTCAAGAGCCCAGCAGCATCTCCAATATCTGAAGCTGATGAGAAATGCATTAATTCTCAGGGTCCACTCCATACCTAATTTGCATTTAACACGATCCCAGATTAACTACACACACATTAAGGTTTGAGAAACACAGGTTTATAAAACATGAATGCTTAATAATGTTAAGCCATAAATGATTCTGGTTAATTTTTATTCACAGGGATTGAAAAAAATCTTGGCGAGAGTAAGTAAGAAAAATAAAACTATTTCTCTCAAGTACAGACGACAGGAATACACACTGGTCCTAAGCACTTCTATTTAAGGCTTGTCTTTTCCACATGCAAGATGATCTAAATTGCCTCCATCCTTCTTCTTCTTTAGACCTGTTTAGTCCCTTTAAGAGAATCTGAGTTATCTTTGATAAAAGGGTAAGTTGACGATACTCAAATCAGAATTAAATAAGAGTGTAGAGAGAGCCATGTATGTGATCTTAGAGGTCACCATATTTCCTCTCCGGTGTTTCATTATGAAAAGTAAAGGAACATTATAAGAATAGCGATGCCTTTATAAGGTAAAGGCATATCAGCATTTAGTATAATATATTCTTTTTAATATTAAGACTCAAAGGCATATAAAACATTTTAGATACATATTTCTCTTGCTAGATAGCAAGTTTCATAGTAGGATAAGCATTGCTGGATCACCTCTAAGTTCCAGTTCAACCCTGAGATGCTCTGTGCCCATGGAACTTCCCAAACATTCAGAAACCACATTACCTTTAATTGTTGCTGCAATTCACTATTCAATCTGGCCAAAACTGTGTTGGTTTCCTTATTGCGTCTAATTGATGCCTGAATAGCTTTTTTATCTTTCCCAACAGACCTGAGAGATAAAGAGGGCAAAATAAGTAAATAACCTTGTCATTTCTTATCTTTAATTTTTCTCCATTCTTCCATGATCTACCTGTAAACCAGAAAATAGGAGCATTTTTTGCCTTATCAGTCTAGCGTAACCTCATTTACTCAGTTTCAACGGCAACCAAAAGTATCTAAGCTTCAGAAGCTTAATTTTTGTTATTGTTTTAACTCTTCTTCTGTAAAGTTAGTCTAGAGCAGGCATCAGCAAACTTTTTCTACAAATGGCCAGACAGTAAGTATTTTAGGTTTTGAAGGCCATATTTTTGTTCTCTCTCTCTCTCTCTCTCTCTCTCTCTCTTCTTCTTCTTTTTTTTTTTTTTACAAAAATGTAAAAGCCATAGCTCATGGCACTTACAAACACAGGCCATGTGCTGACTTTGGCCCATGAGACCTAGCCTGCCACGTCATGGTCTAAAAGAACTAGAGTTAAAATATCAGTATTACTCTACACTATTAATTTTTAAAAGTGTGCAATAGGGTACTAAAATGAAATTGGAAAAGAACTAAATAATAGAAGGGAAAAGTGGAAAGAATATTCTACCTACTCATAAATGAGAAAACTCTCAAAGAGCAACAATTAAGAAGCTTTCTTCAACTACAGAACTAGTCTGACCATAATTTCTTTCCGTTTATATTTTTAATTGCTGTACTTTTTCTTCCTAGTAATTAACTGTATTTAGGATAGCTTTGATTACCTAGGAATAGAAGGCTGTGATGCAAGAACACCAGCTAAGACACCTGTCTTTTGTGTATGTTCATCAACTTCAGGCCTTAACTCATCTTCTGATTTTAATCTTCTTCGAACAGGTTTGGGTGGTGGAGCAAGAGGTGTTGTACCTTTGCCCTGGAAGACAAGAATTCCATTAATAATGAAGCATTTCCTGAAGACATTCATGGTCAGAATTTTGTCAACATCATTTGCTTTCCGTAAAAGCCACTTATTCTCCAAAAATTAAATCACTTTTCCTACTTTAAAACAATTTACAATTTGTTGTAACACCTGACTTAAGTTACAATAGGAGATGTTCCTACTTGACATCACAATTGTGAATGTACTGACTAGACAATTTTTAAAGGGTAATATCAGACCTGAATCTGACTCAAGTCTGTAATAGTCACAGATTTAACATGATTATGACACATGCTGTCATATATCTGTTCAATAAATATAAATATAAAAAAAAGTGTCCAGGAATGTACACCCATTATCACCATAGAATTTCCTACTCAAAAATACATCATCTTAATGAATAAAGCCATTTATAAAGAAGTGGTAAGTTAGGCACTGTTAAAAAAAATCCTTCACTAAGGTGCATAATAATTATAACTAATGAAAATGAGTAGACATTTTGTTGGAAACTGTGAATCTGCCTTCAACAGAATTAAATATGGTATTTTAGTATTTACCATAGTCTGACTTGATTTGTTAATAAATGAAAAGACTCAACTGCCATCTCTTTGGTTAAGTGCTATTTTTAATTTGTTAACAAGAGCTGACAAAAATTAACTATTAAAAAACACCACAGAATTACTAATGTAGTAAACAATAAAGTATTCATAAAGTAGAATTTAAACACTTTCAGAAACAAATGCTACTTTAATAACTATCAGAAATGACTGGATGAAAATAGAGAAAAAAATTAGCAAAATTTTTCTTTCAAGGGGAAAGTATGCAAATAGCAGTTAAGGATTGACTTAGATCAGTAATTTTCAATCAGTGTGCCACAAAAAATTTTAAACCACGCAATTCTTGAATTCAGTTAGGGGCAGTGACCTCTTTTTTCTTACACTGTCAAACAGAAAAATGACAACAGCCAACACAATAGGCATCTGGTGTGAATGAATCAAAAGTATGTCTATTTTTTTGCAAAATATATATTTTTTGGTGTGCCACAGATTTTTAGTTTATATGTGCCATAAGATAAAAAAGGTTAAAAATCGCTGATATAGACACAAGAATAGAAAGATATGTGATAAAGCAAGTATGGTAAAATAATAACTGATATACAATGTAAAATTCTTTCAATTTTCTGTATGCTTAAAAATTTTCATAAAATGCCGGAGAAAAAAATTATCCCTAAAACAGTTGAAGAAAAGAGCACAGACTATAACATTAACCTTAGAGGGTCAATATAATTTTCCCTATTATACTTAAAAAAAACCCACACCTGAATATGATCAATAAGGAAGTTCTACTTTACGTACTTAGAAGACTGTAACACCACATAACTTTCAAGAACTGTGGCATTTACTTATATGGATGATAGACTATCATCTAGAATATTGAACAGGCAGATCATATTCTGAGACAGACTAAAGATGCTACAGTGAAAGGAATGGGTTAGATGTTCTCTAACTTTATTTCTAAGATTTTTGTCATCTTTAAAATCTTAAAAAGTATAAATGATCTCCTCTTTTTTATATACAAAATAATCAACACTATAAAAGACTTATTGCATACCACATTGGCGGGAGCACTAGCAGCTGTCTTTTCTTCAATTTTACTATCTGTTTTGGCAACTCGAAGAGAACTTGCAGGATCAGAAGCTTTTTCAACCTAGAAATGAATATATTATTACTAATTAAATACAAGTAATATGTAATTATGCATAAATACATACATAAAGCACCAGAGTAAAATGTTAAGAAAATATTCGTTAATGACAATAAGGAATCTGAGATGAAGATGAGAAGGAATTTGAGAAAACCCTGTAAAATGACCATTCTCTATGACTGAAGAGCAGAGAGGAGGGAAGGTAACAGATGTGAGAGCGAGGGGGAGGGCTGAGAATGCAGCCATAGGGAATTTAGGAAGTTCTTTAGGTTGGGAGGGATGCATCCATCCAGAGGCATGAGGACCAGTACCCTGTGCACACTCGAACTTCCCCTCAGGTGCCCCCCTGCCTTCCTGGAGGTGCAGGCCATACCCTGTGACCCCACTGTGAGATAGGTTACAGGCTTGAAGAAGTGGCTAGTAGAAATTTATTACGGATCAGATCTATAAGAAACCTTTGGCTGAATGATGCCAGTCAAATGAACATGGATTTTGGGATCTGTGAGAGAGGCTCCATCTAGGTTGAGACAATCAGAATCAAGGTTTTAGAATTCCTTTGGTCCCTCCAATTCCACATTTATAGTTAGTGAGGTCAGGGACCCCTAGAGAAGGTTTTGCAACTAGAAGTAAACAGTCTCCAGGAGCACTGTACTCAGAGATTACGGTACATTTTGGCATCCTGTAGTCTGTAAGTCTAACTAAATTGACTTGCAAATGGAGTGTAGCTATGGCAACCACAGCCTATTGCTACAGGGATATCTTCATCAAATCACACAGTCAGAAGCTTAGCATTAAGATGCAACCCCAGTCCTAGCTGGTTTCGCTCAGTGGATCGAGTGTCAGCCTGGGACTGAAGGGTCCCAGGTTCGTTTCTGGTCAAGGACATGTACCTCAGTTGCAGGATCCTCCCTGGCCCAGGCCCGGGCCCTAGTCGGGCATGTGCAGGAGGCAACCAATCGATGTGTTTCTCTCACATCAATGTTTGTCTTTCCCGCTCTAAAAATCAATGGAAAAATATCCCCGAGTGAGGATTTAAAAAAAAAAATGCAACCCCAGAGCAGTGTTTTTTCACACTACAGTTACTCCCACCCAGATTCTGATTCTTATTAAAGTAATACACTGCAATTAGCAGGAGTTTAAGGACAATGAAAAAATTGAGAAGTACTGGCCTAGGGAATATAAATCCTCTCAAAGCAGCAGAAGCAAATATTTTGCTCACTGATGTTCACTCTAATATCTGCTCTTTTAGAAGCTCCTCTGTTTACAGACCGGCTCTGAGCAGAGATATGGAAAGAGTCCCAATGGAAAACTAGATAAGTCCTTAAAAACTGACCGGCAAGACTTCTGGATGTTTCTCAGCTTCATCGTCTTGTTCTTCATTTACATTTGATGCAGCAAATACTTCAAATTGGCTGAAATCTGCAAAATTTGGTTGTTCTGGTATCTGCTGAGGTGAGGTACTAGTGTGAGTTATCATGCCATCGGCATCCACTGGGCGATGCACTGTGGGACCAGGAGCCTGCACGATGGTTCAGAATAGAGGAACAAACAGTTCATTGGTGTACCAGTCACCAAGTGGCCTCTTTTCCTTCTAAAATATTATTAAAACGATGCTCTGTTTTATTATCTGTAAACTCAGGGAGGTGAGCTACAGAAACATTTAGCTCTAAAAAACCCAGAAGAGAAATGCTAAGACACTAAAAAAAAATACATAAATTAAGATACAAAACCCCAATAAGACAAATACCTTTACAAAATTCTTACTGCAAAGAAAGTGCATAAGGAGAGGGGAAAGTTAGGTTCTACTCTGTGATTCTCACTTGCATCTATTTTTTTCTTACTTGGGCTATTGTGCAATTGTTTGTTCTTCAAACAAGTTATTTTTTTTAATGTTTCATTATGTTTATAAAAAGGTTATTTTTTTAAAGTGTAGAAATCAGTGGGCTAATTATTCTTCTAACACTTCAGTGTGCTTCTCTTCAATTTATCCTCTACTCCACTGCCAGGCCAATCCTTCTACAATCTTCAATCAAAAATGTTTTTTTGAGAATCTACTTTTGGCCAAGCATTATGGTTATAACAGTGAACCAAATAAATAAGGTCCATGCCCAATAAAGATGACAGTCTACTGCAGGATGAGACATAGGTTAACAAGGAATTAAAATAGAGTGTGAAAGTTTTATGATAAAGGAAGTATAGGATATTATAGGAATAAATCAGAAATCTCTTCCTTGCTTACCCTTTAAAAAGTTTCCATCTCCTCTGAGAAAAATTGTATCCTTCTTATAATGATATAGGAGATGCTCTGCCCCTTTTGGACCTCTTCAGTTTCCTTTCCGATCATTCCAGCTGTTCTAAACTAACTCATTTTTCCTTGAAGACTTACCCCACACTTGTATGACTTTGTGGATGCCATTCTGTCTGGTTGGAAAGCCTTCTCCCAAACCAATACAACTTTATCTTTCAAGTCTCTACTTAAGTGTTACTTCCTTCACTTTACTTATACCTTTTCACTGTGATCCCTGACTTTACTAACTAGTAAAGATGTAGCAAAACATTTCATAAACATATCTACTGTTGCCCTTACAATTCTTTATAGTTGTCTTGCCCACTAGACTGGTTCGTGAGTCAACAGACCAATTCACTGGGTTTCACAGCTTAACCCCAGTAAGAATATTTTTGCTGGTACTTTAGATAAAATAAATACTGGAATATTCAAATTTCAGCATCTTTTATGATTAAGCAACCATCTTTTTAACTGTAAATACTCAACTTCATTTTAAGACTCTAACTCAAAAAAATCAACCAAATTCATTCATGTAAAAGGTAGTCAGTCAGTGACATAAAACTAACAGCTATAATCCAGAATCTACCCTGGAACATAATAGTTTTATGCATATCAAAACCATTTCAACCTGGCAGGGATGCAGAGGTCATCTGACACTTCCTTTACTGATGCAGTAACACATCCAGACCGATGCAGTGAGGTCACTCTGAGTCACTGCTAGATCCAAGACACAGATGGCCATCTCCATCTCCTATCTCCCAATCCAGTTCTTCCAACTAAACTCTCCTTTGTCAAGACACTATCATTTGGTTCACTAGCAGATTCTTTAAAAAAATAACTGAAATTATTGGAATTCTCTTTCAAAATAAGACTTATCTTCCCTGAATTAAGAATGAAAATTCAATAATTCTGGATCTTCAAAATAATTCTAGAATAGAATCAAACACCTAATAGATAAGTTAATCATGAGGAGTGTAATAACTGATGTTTAGTAACGAATATGCTGCAGAATACCTGTGAAGGCTGTGGTCTTGGAGGCACGGCAGGAGGATGGGCAACAACTCCAGCCTGTTGTTGTCCTGTGTGAATATACAAGTCTTCTTTTTAGTAAGTAAATAATTACTTTGCTAGTAGAACAGGTTGAATATGATCAAATGATAAAGATTTCTAAAAGACTGCTTTGTTAAGTATAGGAAAGCATAGATGTGATCTAATGGCCAAATCTCATGGTCTTTTCTCAGAATCCATTTCTCTTGTTCAATTGTACAGGGCACTCTTGACATATTCCTCCTTGTTTCCATAATACTATATATTCTTGGTTTTCTTTCCACATTCTGACTGATTTTTAGCTATCAAATATGAGGACTTCCAATTTTCTCTTTTAATTAATACTTCACTCTATTATTTCTATGAAAATGATTCTCAAATAATAGATTAATCTTTCTTAGCCCACAAATCCAGTGGCCTGTTGATTATTTCTTTTTCCTCATAATTCTAAACTCACAACATCCAAATAGGATATCATTACCCAATGTCCTAATTTTTTATTTTGATCAACATAATAATAATGACCAATTATATAAAAATTAAAATATTGGAGTAAGCTGTGGGTCCTCGCTCTCTTTTGTTGCTAACTTAAGACCTATTAGCTTTTCCTCCTTGATATCACCATATCATACTTTTACAATCTCTGTGGCATCTCTCAGATTCCCATCTTTATCACTTGAATTCAAACAGTTTAGATAGACATTAAGAAAAAAATTCCCTCTCTGATACTTTTTAAAATCCCAATTTTTTCTTTGGATAAATATAAAAACAGACATGTTGCGAAAATAAGATGTTGTGTGTCCTTAATGACTTTAAATCAAATAATTTGATTCACAGCTCTCTAACCCCTACCTGTGGTGACTGTAAAGGTCCGATTCATGTCTAAAGATGACGATCTAGAATGCGAGGGCTGTGGCCTTGGAGGGGGAGGTGGTGGTGCAGCGTTATCAGGGGATGTTCCTGAATGAGACCTGCAAAAAGTCACATTACAGTTGGTCATGCTACTGAGACTGGAGCTTTTTCTTTTTAAGCATTCAAACCTGGCTAAGCAGCAAAAGATACTCTCTCAAGTAGGTATACACATATTACAATGAGTAAAGCCAGTATTATTTATGATGTGCATTCCACAAGTGGTTATTTAATATGGCAAATAATATTTTTTATAAAGTATAATTTTATATTTAACAATATTTCAAAAAAATTGAAAAGAAAGTTATTAACAAGAATTTAAGGTAGACTGCAAAACTAGTGTAATTTTTTCCCATTCAATTATAGGCATTTGTTTAAAATATTTACTTTAAAAAAACCCAAAAACTCTAGCCTTGACCAGTGTGGTTCAGGGTTCTGTGAATGCCATCCCATGCACAGAAAGATACTGGTTAGATTCCCAGTCAGGGCATATACCTGGGTTGTGGGCTCGATCCCTGATAAGGGGCATGCAGGAGGCAGCCAATCAATATTTCTCTCTTACGATGTTTCTCTTTCTCTCCCTCCCCTTCCTCTCTCTCTAAAAATCAATAAAAAAATCTTAAACAAACTACTTTCAGACATGGACAGTTTTCAACTTAAAGTCTGGAGTTTGGCAAGTTGAGGTAGAATCTGGCTCACTATCTGCAGTTCCCATTCCTGTGTTACCACAGGCCATCCCATTTTAGAGGTGGCTGTACTCATGCTCAACTCACCTGGAGATGCACTTCTTTGCCACCAACTTTTTCTATATTCTGAAAAGAGTCTCATGGACTCTGGAAATCTAATCCTCACTTATAGGGATAAAAAGCAGAATAAAATTCAAGATGACTGAGAATTTTAAGAAACACAGGAAGAACTATGAAGAAGCAGCCTCTGACTCTGAGCTCACTGGTGATTCTATATCACTAGCCTCTCTCTACATCCTCTAGGCATGTGGCAAAAGGATACGTACCACACATAAGAAGTGAGAGGAGAAAGATACTTCTGTCCTGCACACAGTGTTCTGTGGACAGTAAAGCCCTTGAAGACAAACCCTTTCCACCCTCACTTTTTTAGTTTATGCCTGAAAAGTTGTATGTGACACAGATCTTCAGGGTAAATAGGTAGCCCAACACTGGGCTGAGATCTTGGATAGCATTTTAAAACATAGAATTCTTTTGGTACTTGTCATAAGGCTATAAAAGGAAATCCGCACATTTATCACTTAAAGAGACTCAGTTTACCTAAAGAAAGAACTGTATTGAATTGCTACTATCAAGAAGTTACCAGTCCTTCTTAAACCTTCCACAGAATGCCATGAGATAATAAGGGTTTCATCTGTTTTCTATTCAAGTTGGAAAAAAAATAAAAATTACTTCCCTTTTACATAAATCAATAGATAACCTAACAGCCTTCAGAGAAGTGAAGAACTAAAGAATAGACAAAAATATGTAATTTACACTTGGTTCTACATAATTTTAAGTATTAAAATGTAACAAGATATTTTAATATGCTTGTCATTGACAGAAATACTGACCTTTGACGAGTTACATTGTTCCCGATCTGTTCTGGGTCTGAAGTAAAAGAGTCTGAACTACTGTAACCATCTGCTGATAAATGGAATATAGCCTACTTAATAATAATCATTTTTTTCACTTTAACACTATGTGCCCCAACAAATATAACTGAATTATTGTTTCAAATCAGAGATATTCAGACTGGCTAAAAGTTCATACCAGTTTTATTACAAAAGATTAAATGTATTTTGTATATTGTGAAAAAATTAAATATAAATCAAGTAAATAATTGCTTATTTATACAACAAAATACTATGCATATAGTGTAAGTTATAATCTAGAAAAGTTAACATTTAATACCATAAATATTCAAAATAAGTCACATAAAAAGGATCACAAAACAGTACACACATTACAATTTCATTTTATATAAAAATATGGCATATGCACAGAATGGGGATTAAGCTTGACAATGAATGCTAACCATGGTCAATTGTGAAACAGTGAGATTATAAACATTTTTATTTTTATTATACTTCTACAGTAAGTGTGAATTACTTTTGTAATAAAAATCATTTTTAAAGAACAAATTAGAAGTATTGTAAATAAAACATTTAAAAATTGTTAATGTGAAAAATTAAAAGTTTCACAAGAAAATAAATGTGCTTAGGCAATAATAAAATTTATGAAATTAGCTAGAGGTTCCTAATTTTTCACCTGAGGAAATACCATTTTCAACTTCTTCAAAGTCCTATGAAGGAGCAGAGAATCCAGAAGCAGACTGACAGTTGTGACATAATACAGGAATTTTAAAATAGGAACTCGAGGAACAATATAAAGGAAAACTACATATTCATTTTCAAGAATTAAAACTTAAAGGGACTGGTTGTTTGGACATATTTCAAAATGTACCCCTTTTCTTGTCAAATCACTGAATTATTTAATTGGCAAAGAAAAAGGCTAACATATTTCTATTTGGATGTTCTAATGGGTATTGCAAACTTAAAATGTCTAAAACTGAATTCTATTCTTCCCCCACAGACCTACTCCTACCAGAGTCATCCTCAATTCCCAGTTGCCCAGGCCAAAAATCCCATGAGCCACCCCGAGTCCTCTCTCACATATCCTATATCACATAGATAAGCAAATTTCCCTACAAAATACAGCCAGAACTTGACCATTTTTCAGCATTTCTACTACCACCACCATCGACCAAGCCATCATCTTCACTTATCTGCATTATTACTAGTAACTGCCCCCCAAATAGTCTTTCCTGTTTTGGCTCTTGCCTTTTGGCTCGTTACCAGTATAGCAGCCAGAGTGATTCTGTTAAAGAAGGAAGGTCAGACCATGTCACTTCTCCATTCAAAACCCTCTAACAGCTTTTCATCTCAATCAGTAAGAGTCCACCTTAACCTGCTCTCAAGTTACTATTCTACATTTGCTACCTCTACCTGTTCAATTTGCTAGATAGTTCTATTCTAGGTGTTTGCTTGCTGTTCCCAGCAGAAGTATGGCATGTTTCCTAAATCGGCCTCACATTTGCTACTTCTGTGCCTTAAATGCCTTTGCTTCAGAAATTCACCCAGCCAAATCCCTCTACTCCTTAAAGATTTAACTCAAATGTCATCTTTTGGTAAGGCCTTCTTTAGCCAGCTAATTGAAAGTCACTTCCTTTCCCCTTTCCCAACTTAATTTTTATCCAGGGTGTTAATCACCTCCTAGGACATGAGCTATTTTCCCCCCTTTTCATCTTATCTCCCCTACAAAATGTAAGCTCCATAAAGGCAAAGGTTTTTGTTTGTTTATTTTAGTGCTGAATCCCCAGTGTCTAGAACAGAGCCTGGCACATAGTATTCAATCAACACTGGCTGAATGACTGAATATATACACAATTTCTTATGAGAGAAAGAAAGGATCTAGTGGGAAAGAGCCAATGGACTAAATCTGGCTAATTGAGAGGAATGGCAAACAGGAGGCCTGCCCTGAAGAGGTTCAGGTGGCAATGGGGACACACTTACTCATACAGCAGGTAGAGTGTTTAAAAGGGTTGACTATTCTCTACTTTATTCAGTGAAGATAATATTAAATGGCTATACATCTGTATATTTCAGGCTCTAAATCCAGACTTAATAAACTTCTAGTGGAAGATGTCGTGGTATCTTTCACTTACCTACAGTATTTCCAGAAGCAAATTTCACTGATGAATTTATCTTATTTTCCTCTGAAAGGTCAGATGTTTTCACAAGTAATGGGCTAGTGGGATTAGTATGATCTAGTAGAAAAGAAAATTAGTAAGTAAAAATGTAAGATAAAGGCATTTGTATTAATACATTTATAAAGCTCAGAATATATGAGACCTAATTTAGATATTCCAAAGAAATAGCCAATAAATCCATGGAAAATAATACAAAATAATATTCTTAATAAAAACAAATATAGCCCTGACCGGTTTGGTTCAGTGGCTAGAGCGTCGGCCTGGGGACTGAAGGGTCCCGGGTTCGATTCCAGTCAGGGGCATGTACCTTGGTTGTGGGCACATCCCCAGTGGGGGGGGGGGGGCAGGAGGCAGCTGATCAATGTTTCTCTCTCATCGATGTCTCTAATTCTCTGTCCCTCTCCCTTCCTCTCTGTAAAAAATCAATAAAATGTATATTTTCAAAAAAAATTAAAAAAACAAATATAAATCTATTTATATAGAATTTCTTTTCTGTCATATAGAAGATATTTTACAATAAAAAGTCAATTTGCATGTTCATATTTTGTTAATTTTATCCCTTTAGATAAGTAATTAAACAAAACATCACACAAATGGTTATAAATAAGTAATTTATGATGTTGACTAATATAGGAAATAAATTTATCTTTGAGAAACCCTAATTATAAAACATTTAATCTAAAATGAGGAGAAAATTGCCCTGACTGGGTGGCTCAGTTGGTTGGAGTGTCCTCCCATACACCAAAAGGTTGTGGATTTGATTCCTGGTCAGGACACATAGCCAAGTTGTGGGTTCAATCCCCAGTTGAAATTCATATGAGAAGCAACTGATTGATGTTTCTCTCTCTCTCTCAAAAAATAAAAAAATCAATAAATATACTCTTGGGTGAGGATAAAAAAAAACTAAAACGAGAAGAAAATTCAAGAATTTAAGCAAAAGAATTTCAAAGCCAAAACTCACTTTAACATATGCTTCTTCAGTTACAATTTTAACATACTTTAAATGTAAATTCACAAAAATGATCATTAAACACAGTATCAGAAAATTCATATTTTCAATGTCCTTATTTAAGTTTTATAATTAAAATTCAATAATTTCCTTTTAAAACTGTAAAATAAGTTAAAATATACATATAAGCACACACATACATGTATAACTGTAGAAAGTACTATGTTAACAAATAAGCAATTATGAAAGAAATCTGAAGCCTGATAGAATAATTACTTCTGCATTTATGTAGTTGAAGCTAACCTAAAATCCTACCTGCTAACCTAATATAGACCAGCCACAGACTGCTTACCACTGCCAGTTCTTTTAAGTTCCATTTCCTGCATGTGGATTTTGCTTGGAGTCATACGAATGGGAACTGGATGAACAATAGCAGTATCCTAGGAACAGATGAGAGGAAATACAGAATTTGTATTAAAAATGCCAAATTGATACCAAGAAATAATAAAAATTAACAATATTTTAAAAACTGGTGGATAGACTCTCTCATTCACACTAAAGCAAGCATGAAAATGAATTTTTAAATTAAAATTATAGAATTATACGTAAAAAAATCAAGTACATGTCTAATAATCTGATTTTTTATTAAAAATACATTTTAACTTTTGAGTGATTAAAGATTTGAATAAAAACAATAACCTTATAAAAATACAGTTTAAGATAGTATTTAAAGTGTGAAATGATCTGATGAAATCATACAAATTTGAACCTCTCAGGTTAAAGTGAAACAAACTACTTCATTAGAATCCAAAATTAAGTAGTAGACCAAACTCATTTTCAGGAAACTGCTCAAGAAAATTTGAAACTTTTCTTTTTCATCTATAAAACAGAGTTAAAGATATGCCTGCTATATTGTAACAGTAGGCACAATGCATACTTTCACAGATTAGTTTATAGAACTTTAAAATTTAGCCTAACATTTCCACCAAGGGATCCAGTTTTTAAGAAGAATAAGACTCCTACTCTAAGATTCTAATATTTTCTTAAGCCATTCAAGATTATAATACATCTGATATTCCTAAACTTCATTATTGACAAGTCTAGTTAGAAGGGTAAAGAAACTGATAGAAGAGACTTTCAGAGTGAGAGAGTAAGGCAAGGAAGAGAAGATGAAGACAGATGGTAGCCTCTCTGAAAGGAAAGGAAGAGAAAGGTACACCTGGGTACACAGGTAAGCCTGACGCTGGGAGCTGCCATACCAGTGGAAGAACCAGAATAGGATCAAGCATTTGGCTTAACAGCTACAGACCAGATGAAAAACACTGGGAAGGAGGCTCAGCTCCTTATATGAGGAGTCAGTTCGCATTTTGTGTGTGCTGCTGCTAAGGACTGAATATTAGATCCTTAAATTTTGAATATCTAGTTGAGTTAAGTTTATAATTTAGTGTAAAGGATAATGATTTTTCAGTTTAAATCCAACACTATTTTGGTGACAGTACTAACACCAAGCCTCTGCTAGAGAAAGTTCCAGTATACCATTTCTTGTTTGCAGCTCTCCTTGGCTTATTCTTATAATCTCTAAATTCGAACAATTTATAACAAACAAATTAATTCTTTATTGCAATTATACTGATAAATCCTTTCATAGCATTTTCCTGCCTCTATATCAGTGAAATACTGGACAGGGTTCATGTATTATCCAATTGAAATGAACTAACATTTCCCCTACAACTCTACAATTACAGTTATAAAGGTGAACATTACAAGTGGATAGGAGGTTAGATTTCTCACATAATAATGAGTCACTCACAGGAAAATATTTATAACAATACACTTAAAATGTTGTTATTGTTATAAAAACATGGCTTTAGAAATAAATACTATTTTCTTAACTTACAATTTTAATAGCAGAAATAGCTGCTATGAAAATCAGAATTTAATATAAGGCAAGATTAAAGGAGAAAGAAATGATAGTTTGTGACACAATAAGTTCTTATTACAAACCCCCCAAAACTAGAAAAAAACAAGCAAGGATAATTTATTAGATGCTTTAAACTCGTAGTATTTATCTAACATATATTCTATGTGTATGTTTATAAAATCAAATTTATAAAGCTTATAACAGTTGGAAATATTAGTCTTTTCATATATTTCCAGTACAATAATGAAAATACATTAATGACTACAAAAAATAATCATGAATATTCTATTCACTATCCAAATAATTTCCTTAAGTTCCTGTACCAACAAAGCTTTTTGTATAGCATACTTCAGCCACACACTGACTGGTTGCTAAGAGCCTGAAATAGCTTTAGTCCAGCGGGTCTTAGCTACTTAGCAGGACAAGGTAATTCCTTGAAAACCAGAGACCGTATATCAGAGGCTTCATTTATGGCTGCGATGTTACAAATGAGTCAAAGCATGATAGAGGGCTCTGACTTTAAGCATTTGAACATTCCAGATGAAGAACCATGAATGCCTACTAGCCTCTGAGTCCTGAATTACAAGATGTCAAAGTAACACTTTCTCTGCTCCAAATTAGCATCCCTAAATGTAAAAATAGAGATCACCTATTCAAATCACCCAAAGCCTTTAGGAAACCCATTCATAATTACTCATGGCACATTTGTGTCATCTATTTGGGTATTTGATTTCATACAATTTAGCATTTTATTGAATATTATATTAATGCTCACATATCTATATTTTCTACCTGATTTAAATCCCATTATCCTGTCTATCTGAATCCAGCCCTGCCTACTTTCTGTTTCTTAGTTCAGGTGCTCATCATCTCTCTCTTGATCCCATCAATCCTTCATATTATAGCTCTTCCTTGACCCCATTTTATCATGGTACTTTTTAAAATAAATATATTTTTATTGATTTCAGAGAGGAAGGGAGAGGGAGAGAGAGATGGAAACATCAATGATGAGACAGAATCATTGACTGGCTGCCTCCTGCACGCCCCCTACTGGGGATTGAGCCCGAAACCCAGGCATGTGCCCTTGACCAGATCGAACCCACACCCCGTCAGTCCCCAGGCTGATGCTCCATCCACTGAATCAAACCAGCTAGGGCTCATGGTACTTCTTATTAGCCAAGAGTGTCAATGAGATTTAGTTCAGATCCTTGGTCTAACATACAAAGATCTTCCCAGTTCCATCATTCCCCCATACACATGTCTAGCCTATACTCTCACCACACTGAATTAATCCTGTTCATGATACTCGCTCTGCTTGGAATGCTCTTGTCCAAATCTGGCAATTCATAGTTCCATTCAAAACTCAGCATAAAAGCTCCTTTATGGAAACCTTTTGGGGTAAGCTGGCCCATGATTCTCTGCCCAGAGTTTTGTTCATAGCCATGGATGGTAATTATCACAATCAGATGAATTACAATCATCAGGCTTATAATGAACTGTGGTGTGGTCTACTTAAGACTGGAATTTTGTTCCTGACATTTTTGTATTCCTAGAAAATATCACAGGCACCTAGAAAGGAGCTACATCAAACCAGGTGAGTTGGCTGGGCATAATCAGTAATTAAACTCACTTCCCTCTGTACTCAGAAGCTCTATAGCACTCAACATCAGGGATATCATGGAGAAGACTAGTGCATGACACTTCTCATCAGTCTAGAATTTCCTTCCAGAAGCAGATTCTACCTGAGTCTATTAACTGATAAGAAGTTCAACAAAAGTAATCAAGTTTCTGGAAATGAAATGTCAGAAACTCAATTTCATCATTATTCCAGGAGCCGAATCATTAACCATTGCAGTTTGCATGTGAGGTCAGTGCACTGTCTCTAAGCGCTACAGAGCAGTTTGGAGCTCTTCATGGACTTTCACTTTATTGAGCAAATGGATAATTATTAAATTTTAGCTTTTAAAAAATATTACATTAAATATTTCCAACACTGTAATGTATGTTAAATTCACATTAGAACTGTGGTGTGTTTTTTCCCCCTGTTCTAATCTGAATGGACCTTATTTACTTACAATCCTTTACAAAAACCTTGCAAAGGACATTTGGAATTGTAGCTACTATCAGTGTATGTATAGGAACTATGTCAGTAAGTATTAAATGAGGGTTAAGAAATTCAGATCTTCAGTGAGAACAGTATATTCTCCTAATTCAAAATTTAAAGAGAAATTACTAGTTGGGGAGCAAAGTTTAGATTTGTTTGCCACCATAAAAGAAAAAGGATGTTTCTAGGTACCATATTATAAATACTTAAGACTGGCAACTCTATCAAATTCAGAAGTCTAAATTGGAGTTTAAAATATCAATTAATAATTTTTAATTTTTCTAGAGCCTCCAGCCACACTAGAGATAACAAAAGAAAGTACTGAGCCATATTAAACCCTAGAGCAAGAATTCACAAATTTGGATATTATTTCCAATAGGTTACAAGAACATCACTGTTATTAAGCCAAATATTTTCCTGCATTTCTTGTAAGTTATGAGTTAATTTATTTTGCTCCCAAATTCTATGTTTTTATATGTAATGTTCTTTCCTGGCCTGACAAATAATCATAATACTATGAATAATTATTTTCATGGCCTCTTAAGGGTTACAGACTAGAGAGTTTCTTTATTGCTATAGCAAACCTTTGCTCCCAAAGAAGTACTTTTATGAAGCACCTTAAATAAACTAACTTGACTGTGTAAGTAGAAGATAAGAACATGGAAAAATTTTCTTTTAGCTCATAGCACCTGTCACTTCCCAAGAGACCTTAATAATAAGCAGCAAAAATTGTGTTTCCTTTTTATCTCTCCTTCACTTTTTAGAAACTAAAATAAAAAATTAATAAATGCCCTCGAAGTAGCAAGAGAAGCCCTAACTGGTTTGGAAAGGTATCCTTTAAGAAAAGGAAGAAGAAGAAAAAGGTAAAGATAGCCCTAACCGGTTTAGCTTAGTGGATAGAGCATCAGCCTGCGGACTCAAGGGTCTCAGGTTCGATTTCGGTCAAGGGCATGTACCTTGGTTGCGGGCACATCCCCAGTGGGGAGTGTGCAGGAGGCAGCTGATCGATGTTTCTCTCTTATCGATGATTCTAACTCTTTATCCCTCTCCCTTCCTCTCTGTAAAAAATCAATAAAATATATTTTTAAAAAAAGTAGCAAGAGAAGCAAAAGGCACAGATGATTTACATATTAACTGACTCTTAAATTATTAATTATAAAACACTTCCATACATTATCTACTTGAATTCAATTTAACATCCTCTGTATTTCAAATAGATATAAAGTCTTTAAAATTATAAAACACACCAAAGATTCATTAAACTGTTGATGTACTATTATCTTTAAATACCACTTCTCCCAAATCCACATTAAATAAGAAGACCATTTTTACATTTAATTCATGAATGCTGGCTGTCTTTGATCAAACATCTAAAAAGAATGCCTTCTCCGTATCTTTCCACTGAGCTCATTTTCTAATCCTACCTTTACACTCTTCTTCCCTTCCTACTTATTTCCTCTTTTCTTTTTGAAAAGTGGTTATTAGCATGTCCTTCTTTTTAAAAGTAAAAAGAAAAAGCAGGAGTGAACAGTGAGAAGAATGATTAGCAACTAAGGTTTTGAAATGTTCAAATAACTTGAGGGACAGGTGAGTCATATATTAAATTAAATCTAAGGGAATATAATTTATTTTTGAAATCATGATGTGAACTTTGTAGCATTTTTCAGAGCAACACAGTAAACCACAGGAAGACAAGACAGGCTCCTTTGCACAATGGGAATCTTTGACTAACAACTCTGTTGTTTTGCTGAACTTGATTCTCTTGTAACAGAACTCAACATACTATTTAAGTCAAAGCCATACCATCTGGACTATTAAAATAAAAGATGACATTGCATATTTACATATGTAGTACATATTACACGATATGTAAGCATACAAATAAAACAGTATTTACTAAGTGTAACTACACTAAAATAAATAGTATGTTTAATAGAACATACACTCAATTAGCAAATGAAAACAAGTCAACTAAATCAATTGTCACAAAATGCTTCTTTAGACACATGTACCAGCTTTTTAAAACATACAGTTTCACCAAAATAACTAGAAAATACAAACAATGGTAAAAAAAAATGTTCTTTCCACCATTAGGCACACAAAAATTGAAAAGCTTGCTACCATTTCTCTCTAAGCACTCCACTGAATCATGCATATCTGCTAAAAACCATAATGAATGGAAATTTGGGTTAATAAAATTAATTTCAAACAAGCAAGCTAAGTGATTGACTTACAGGATCAGCTGGTGCAATGTTAGAATCAAATTGGGTCAGAGTTTGTGAGCTTGAAGAGCGTTCACTAAATGTCTCCCACTGCTGAACAGACAGAGGAGAGACAAGTCAGCATGATGAGAAAGATGGAGTAAAAAGATCACTGGAGAAGATTTAGCAAAGTCATTCAGAGGTTGCACTGCAAGTTGTGTTTCATAGGCCTGACAAAATTCCGTAGTTTCTATTTTTGAAATAAACATTTTATACTCATCTATGCTGGGTCATCTTGTAAGGTAAGGTGAGCACCTTCACAATCAAATGTATAGTAACAATTTATTACAATCTCTATGAAGAGATTCAAAGCCTTACAGAGTTCAACCTCAAAAGAGACATAGGAACAAATAGAGTCTAAGTGGTATAAATAGCAACAAGGTAAAAATGTAAAGGGGTTTGTCTTGACTAGAGAAAGAATAACTTCAAATCCTCCTTTTAAAATTTAAATGCTAATGCATTGATTTGGTGATGTTAGTGAATCTTGACTACCAAACTTTTGGTCAAAACAAAGCAAGTCATTGTGACTTGCCAGTGCCACCCCTGAAAGATGATTTTGTTATGTACGTGCACATATTTTGTACATATGTATACTTAATAAAATATAATTGTGATAAAGTGCAAAGAACTCTGGAATTATAATATATGTTTGAGCTTTTGTCAATCTGTAGCAAGTCAACCCCTGAAATCAGCACTATGAACAGGACCATGCCAGATCGAAAGACAGAGCTGCCAATCAGGCACCGCCCCCCGCTTCCCCCATGCTAGAAAAATCAGAGTGCGGCCACAATGAGAGCAAATCAAGCATCTGGGTATGTGTTATATATAGAGGATGTATTTTGATATGAAATACTACTCTCCTAAAAGAGGCACACAAATATCATACCTCTTAAAATTGGTGGAGTGATAAGCCAATAACAATTATAGCAAATTCTATTTGTTTTAAAGGTCTTGGTAATAAAATAGTATAGAATTTTTATATCAAAACTGCATTAAAATTTGATTCTTGAGAATTTTACTCTGAGGAGGGAAAAACATCTACACATATACAATATATACAAACGAATGTTTACACACAGACAAACCTATCCCATTAACCAAAATCCTCTTTTTGTAACTCAGCATGGAAAAGTATACATTTTTATGCTTCAAAGTTCGACTTATTTAAAATAGTGATATTCCATTTGAGAAGACTTGTAGAAATAAAATATTAGCAAATTAATACATTGATGAAAATTATCTACAAAAATGGCTAATACAATCATTCAACAACTCTGCCTACAAATTTTAAAATAATGAAAATTAAGACACTGATGTATTCAAAGTGATTCTTGAATAACAAAACTTCATTCTTATCATGGGACATCGCTTCAAAGAAGTGATTTACCATTATTTGTTGTTTGTTTCTTCAATAATTATTGTTGCATGTGCACAGAGGAATTTTTAAAACCCTAATGATCTAAACTTTTAGATGTAGATTTTTGCCAAAAAGAAGGCATTTATTTACCTATTTGGTTGTATGAAGTTTTACTTGGTTTCACAAGACTGTATGCAAGCTACCTAGAGAGCAGAGAGACACTTTTATCTTCATAACTTTAGTATAATGGTTAGGAGCACAGCTCTGGATCCAGACTACTAGAATCCTAGTTATACTGTACAACCTTAGGCAAGTTATTTAACCTCTCTGTAATTCAGTTTCACCATCTGTAAGGTGAGATTAATAATACTATAAGATTGTTATGAGGAAGTAGAGTTCATATATGTAAAAAGCTTTTAACAGAACTGGCACATCCCAAGTGCTCAACACATATTAAGGCTTATTATTAGTGCTGTTGTTATTAGTAGTATTATTCCTTGCAATGTCTCATCCATTTTTAGATGCCGAATAATTATCTGTTGAAAGGATCATTAGTGCTTTGTGTAGAGATTTATTAAGATGTCTCAAAATCAATGTTAGTTTTATTAGCATTTTGATTTTCCACAGAGTTAAAAGAAAAATAACACGACATTCATAGCCGAATTATTACTGAATACTACAAAATGAAACTTGCTCTGACTATCTAAAAAGAAAAAGTCCAACTGCTTAAATCAGAATATGGAAGGGACTTCTATTCCTGGTCTTTAATGATCACACACAATTTTATTTAGAATGAATATGGGCTTTAGAATAGAGATGCTTTAGAAAGAGCTGCTTTTATTTATGAGCTGGTATCAATGGAATAACTACTCTTAATCTGATATTACTTTTTAAAAATGAGCAAGTAGTTTCAAGAGTAATGACCCCACTCTTCATAAAGCCTCTTTACTAGTGAATTATTTCAAGGCTTAATTCCTCCCTCTAGAAAAACTTATATATATGACTTTACATCCAACAGTATGACAAGTGCTATGTGTTAGGTACAGTATTTGTGATTATGTCATAAAGCAGCAGCAAGTACTTTAAACCTGCCAGTTACTTCTGTTTTTCAACTCTCCAAAATTAATGAATGTCTCTTTAATTTAGTACTTTATTACTGGCTTTAAAAGATATGAAAAGTCCAGAAGTTTAGAATTTTTTCCTGAAAGTCAACAAACTTTTAAATTTTTAAGCACTACCTAAAAGTGATTTAAGGCAAAAAAAGTTATTCACAAAGAAAACTGCTCTAACAGGCTAGAACAGCTATTTTTTAGCTGAAGTTCTATAGAGCACTAAGGTTTAACATAGAGGCCTCCGGCCTACTTCTCTGATTCTAATCAGAGTGGCCCCACTTTTATAGTTTTATATAATGGAGTTCCCAAGTAATGAGGAGGAGAGGGAGTGCATTTGTCTCAAATTATGTTTTGCATGTTATCGTTGGTTTTATATATAATATCCTTTAACCACTGCATTTATTAGGGTTTAATTCCATATTGTATTAAATAAAACTAAATTATTATCAATAGCCTGGGTTGAAGAAAATACTTTTTTCATGTGGAAGGCAGGATTAGTGACTTCTCATGTCACTTCCAATACTAAGTTTCCAAAATTATTATCACATACAGGAATGAGAAGCAGTGTGACATGGTGGGTGTGGTAACGGACTACAGGTCAAAGGATTTGTGTTCAAATCTAAGCTCTTGTTCTTCAGTGGTTATGAGTTATCTTGGCCAAGACATTCACCCTTTTGACTATAACCTGCATGTTCCTGCCCCATCCAACTCACAGGGTTTTAGCAGGAATAAGTGGTGAAAACCAAATGACAGTATATATATATACACACATATATATATACATATATATATATGAAAAAGTACTTTGAAAACCTCAGAGTCACATAATTACAAACACTTATCATAGCCCTACTTTATATGCTCTCTTAGCTATGCTGAATAGAGCTGCTGAAAGAGCTCTATGCTGAAATTACTGTTTGGAACGTCTTACCTTAACAAAGTTAATATTAATGAAAGGAAAGGGAAGCTTTGCTAACCTCACTGCTCTGATTCATCTCTGGCCAAGTCTGGTTTAGTGAGGGCATTGATGGTGACTTGCTTGGAGGTGCTTCTGCAGGCGAGCCGGAATAACCTACCTCACCTGTCTGATCCCCAACATCTGCAATTGAAACACAGAAATTCTCCATAAATAATATAATTTAGTTTAGGAATATTACTTATTAAAAAAAACCCTGAAGATTTGACAAGTAGTAATTGATAATCTGAATTTCCTTTCCTCATGTTCCTAAAATAAACATTTTTATATTAAATGTCAACTGTAATTGAAAAATAAACATTTTAACAGTCAGACAATTAGGCAGTACTTATTCCTGCTACTTATTGTCTACTCAAAACGAAAGCTTTCCATGAAAATAAATTCTAGTTAGGAATAGAAAAAGAGTGTTAGGCATAATAATACAACTAGCACAGACGTTTTTAGTCATTTTCTGATAATAGGACTGAATTTGTAGCAGATCCCAAAGTGTATTTTATGGAATATTAATGTGAGGTACTTTAAAAAAAGGTTTAATAATTTTTTTCTATTCAAATTTGGGAATACTGTAACTCCCTGTTGGAGCAACTCCATGAACATTTGTATATGAAGGACTTGTAATGTCTCAGAGCAAATTAACTATTTAAATCCTTTTCTCCAAACCAAAACCTTTTTTTATCAAATAAAATCCCTCAATATTCTCTTGGAATATACTTTGGGAAATGCTAATTTACACTAAGTCACTCACATTTTCTCTACAAGGCTCCTGTGTTACCAAAAAGCAGCATATATTTGCAGGGCAGAGAGTAAAAGGAGAGGAAGAGTCCCAGGCATGAGTGAAAACCAGTCCATGAGCCCACACCAAAGAAAGTTTTATCATTAAGCCCCTGGCACTTAACCTTCACTGAGAAAGCTACAAATCCATGACACCATTGCAAAGCAGTTTTTAAAGTATTATGTGGTAGCACATTCTGCTTGTGAGTAGTTAAGCCCTAATTTCAAATATCACTTGAATTTCAATTTGAGAACAGAAGGAATTTCAATGGTAACTTAATTCTCATTCCAATCTTCCCAAGCTTTACATATCTTTGAATATAATCCCAGTCTGAAAATGAAATAATTGCCAAATTTATGAGGAGTACCTAATCTATTTAGAACCTGTATCAAAACATTGTTCTAGCATCTGTCACTATCTCACTGCTTGACCATGGGCAAGCTGAATAAAACAGCACCTGAGTTTCTCCATCAGAAAGAAAGACATTTGCCATTAAACGTTAGCACTATAGTTCAAATTCCTAAATAAACAGTCATACAATAACTTAGCAATGTATAGGTTTTAACCTTTCAATCTATTCAAAAGTAAATCCTTCACATTTTAGTGCCTAACATAGAACCTCATACTATGTACACAAATCTTTATTGAATGAGTTGCTTTTTGTGTTCTTCTTCATTAAATTCATTCTCCTTTGCTGTTATTTTCCCAGAACCAAAGCTAACTACCAGTATTTTGAAAAAGTACTCAATTTCTCTTTGCCCTTTGTTACATGACTACTATCTCAAAATACTTCCCCTTTTTTGTAGTCACATCAAGTTCTAATTTGCAGTCCAGCAGCAGATTTTGATAAATTTTTGTTTTGTGAGATTGGAAATTGTTGCTATTTCTTTCTTAATTCTATCCCTTTCTTGATAAAAATGTTGTAGTATAGAAACAATAAGAGGCAGAAAGGCTTCCAATAATGTTCTATGAAGAACTCTTAAATCAAAGCTCTTAGAGAAAAAACTAATGAAATAATAGTTATAATGAATAGTAGCAGCAAATTCCTCATGGGAATAGCTTGTGGCTTTATTGTGAACAAAAATTATGGATTTTTTTCCTATGATAACAAAGAGAAAGAAAGTTAAGGAAAGGCTATAATGGCTATAAATCTGAATTTAATGAAACTGAAACTCTGTTAGGAGGATGGTGAATGGAGAAGTGTCTTTAAGAGATCCAGCAAAGCAGTTGTTGAAGAAAATAAATAGAATTAAAACAGTATTAACTATAAGGTGACTCATTTTCAAAAGAACCTATCTACAGTCAGACTATATTACTTTAGTTTCACATATCATCTTAGGGTAAGCTGGGGCCCTGGCCTGGCTTTCTCATGTCAGTCTTCTACTAGCAAATTTAGGTCCAGACGGTACCCTACCCCCACATCAGGGCAGTTATAATTTGGGATAGATTCTGGGAACCTCTGTGATTCACTGGTACAAAGTTGTAGTGGATGTAGCCTCTTGAAGTATACTATTCACTCAAATAATTATACTTCATAAGTATTCCAACAGAGTCATTTTCCTAGAGTAGCAGTTCTCACACTGTGGATCATGGACTCCAGGGAATCCCCATGACTCTTTTAGGGCATCTGAAAAGTCAAAAAGATTTTGTAATCATATTATTTTTTTCTCCTGTGCTGACATTTGAACTGATGATGCAAAAGCAATGGTGGGTAAAACTGCTGGCTTATCAACAAGAAACAAGGCAGTGGCACCAAAATAATACAGGGGTGGGCAAAATAGGTTTACAGTTGTGAGGACACGATACAGAGTTTATCCTTGTATTTTTATTTATTAATTATTGTATTTTTTTCCCATAGGAACAATTGTAAACCAACTTTTGCCCCATCCTGTACTAGTCACTGTATTCTTCACCCCCCACATATTCCAGTTTAAATACATAGGCATGGCAATGTCACTGAAGAACGTTCACAATTAAGCGGTAAAGATTATTTTATTAAATCTTAGTCCTGAATACACATCTTTTTAATAGTCTTTGTAGGAAAAAGGGGAAATATATGTTTGCAATTTTATATAATGGAGTCCCAAAGTAATGGGGAGGTGCAATATATTGCACTTTGGCTCTTTATCAGAGCACAGTGATGATCATCTCCAGGAAGTGGTCTTGAGTGATTTGGCTGTGAGCTGAACAGGCCATTTTTTTCATGGAACATGATTTTTCTTTAAAGAACAGCTGACAAACGAATTATTGAGACTTTTACGCATTTTCTCAAAAATGAGTTAAGTGAGCCTGTCACTTCAGGAAAACAACTGTCTTCAGTATTGTTACTAATGACAAACTTTGTGCTTTCAAGAGAAAATTAGAATTTTGGAAAATGTGTATCCATATCTGTATAACTCAATGAACCAATATTTTACAAATAATCAATTATGTTATAAAATCATGCATGGGCAAAAGATTAATCCAAAGTATATTCAAAGTGCAAAACATGTATGGAATTTAACATAACAGTACAAATAATTCATTAATATGGTTTCAGTTTTCACATTGCAATTAACCTTTAAGAAATTACCATTTGTTGACATTTGGTGTGGTAGCAAAGAATATCCATAATTACAAATTTGAATTTCATGTGTCATGAAATATTCTCTTTATTCTCCAATGATGAAAAAGAAAAAGGAATAACCATCACTTTTTTGTTGTGGGCTATAGAAAAACAGTCAGCTGACCGGATGTGGCACTCAGTGCTTAGTCTGCAGACACCTGATACTTCAAACAAAATAATATCTAACCGCCTGAATGCAGAAGCAAATATGAAAATCCAGCTGTCTTCTACTAAAATAGATATTAAAGAGATTTACAAAATGTAAAAACAATGCTATCCTTTTCATAATTTTTTCTTTTACTTCGGGGAATATAGTTATTTTTCTAAAATATGTATGCTAATATTTAGGGAGCTTATAATTGTAATTTTTAAAAAGCTGTAAATTTTTTTAAAATGTATCATTTTTAATTTCTAATAGGGCAACTATTGATAGATCTAAGTCACATAAACAGAAGTTCTTTAGGATCCACAATAATCTTTAAGAATGTAAAGGGGTTCTAAGACTAAAATATTTTTTAAAAAATTTAGTCTGTCTTTGAAAACCCCAAAATTATTTCTGGATGAATTAGCAGAATTACACATTGTTTCTTTCCTATTTCATATATAGAAAAACAAATGGCAGTAGAAAAAGAGCAAATTACCTATGTTCTAGAAACTAACAGTCATGAGCATTAAGTCTGTAAATAAGCTATCTCTCCTTCTACCAACCTGGCTCCCTATGAATATTCCAACAAAGAGCTTCAGGCCCGCCCACAGTGTTTGTCTACAGTCCGTATCCTCACGGAGGCAGGGGTGTAGTTTTACTCTTACCTGATGCAGTGTTCCAACCTAGCCTCCTGCTGGAACACTGTGTCAACCCTGCCTCCCTCCTGAGGGTTCTGCTCTGCCCCTGACATCATCAGAGCATCAGGGCTGAAAAAGAAGAGCATGAGCCTAAATTATTTGTTAAAGTCAACCCCAAAAGGGCTTTATGCAAAAAGTATTTCCATGTATAAGAGTGTGCCTGGAAGACACAACACTGTGTGATCATATTGACTGACATACTGTCAGGCTACATTTAAAAGTTAGCAACAAGTGCAAATTAAATGAGTGCAAACCATATTTTCTGTATTGCACTAGAAAATAAAAATGCTCTCAGTAGTCTCATCCTTCTAGCCTCCAAAGACTCTGAAAAGTCTGCAGATTCAATTCAGTGCAGCGTACCTGCCAAACCACCTTTCTCAAAGACCTTCAGGTTTTGTTTTTTTTAATGTATTTTATTGATTTTTTATAGAGAGGAAGGGAGAATGATAGAGAGTCAGCAACACTGATGAGATAGAAACATCGACCAGCTGCCTCCTGCACGCCCCCCACTGGGGATGTGCCTGCAACCAAGATACATGCCCTTGACCGGAATCGAACCTGGGACCTTTCAGTCCGCAGGCCGACGCTCTATCCACTGAGCCAAACCGGTTACGGTAAGACCTTCAGTTTTTACCTCGGCTTATCACCTACCCACCCTGGACTTCTGTTATTTTCTTAGTATTATATTCAACACACTAAAAAATTGTTTCAAAAATGACTTGTCAGCTATTATTAATCTTATAGAAATATATACTAGTACATACATTCCTGAAAGTCTTACGGTTTTAAACTTATTTTGTTTTCAAGTAGCAATACTTGTTGGAAAAATTCTTCAATCATAAAGTTTCAAGGTTCCAATTTCATTTAATGGCTTCCTCAAAGCAAAAGTAAACTATAGCTTTT